ATATAAGTGAAAATAACAAAATAATAATATTTACATTTCACAAACATTAATTGTGTGTACTGCGTCAGGTAACTCAGGTCTATGGAGGCCTTTCCTAGTTTCAAGGATTCTGTTGATCAAGTCCAAATCTGCCTCATGTTTCGCAATATCCTGGGGATTATTGGATTTTCCTACATTCGGAAGTAATGGTTTTTGCTTCTTCTTTTCTGAAAATATATGCCATGTAAAATAAGTTGCACGGTAACAAAACTGGAATAAGATTCAAAATTACCACAAATTAGTAGTTTAGCTTTCATTTCAAGATGTCAAGCTAAATAACTGTCAACATAGCAATTGATATTCAAACATGTTATGAAATTAATATGCTTAAGCTACTTTTATTTAACAAAATTTAAGATACACAAGAAATATTTAATAAGAGAAGACTTACTATTTTCCATGAAATCGTCATTTAGAAATTGGTCAAGATCATCATCAAATGCCCTGTCTGCAGGTCTTTTTCTGTTTATAAGGCCATCATCCTGAATTTCATCTAATTGGGTCATTTCTGCAATACCTAAGAAATCAAGTTAATTCACCTCTACAATGTAATTAAGTTCATCACACAAAAAAATATGTGCAGTAGTATATACAAGCATGAACAGTACAACACTGCTTACAAAAGAAAGTAATATAAAAAAGATAAGACCATACATCCTATGGCATCTATTTTGGCTACTCCATGTGTGTGTGCTACACATGCTCATTTGCTCGACTATAACAAATGAGGTACAGCCCTCAAATGAAAAGTGTAAGAAACATACCTTCATCTACAGCTGTATTTTTTACAGCCACTGATGGTGGACTTGCAAAATTAAGACTTCTTTTGATGGAGGGAGGAATAGTTGCTGCCTCTGCAGCTGCAGCATCTTGATCAAAATCTGAAATAATTTGTGATAATAATTATATTTTGTCTATAGGGGACCCTCTGGTTTCAAAATGGTACTAAATGCAAAATTTAGTAATATTAACTCTGGCCATAACACTGGATTCCACAGCCTGTTAAAGTCTTAACCTTTTATAGAGAAGCATGACAAATTTGTCATGCAAGTTTTGCCTGGCTTTGAATGAAATAGAAGAAGGGTAAAACCCTCTGTTTGGTATGATACATTTGTATTGTCTCCCTCTCTCAAAATGCAGCTGATTGGTTGTTTTTGCACAAAAAATCAGTCTACGAATGATAAAAGAAGTGAAGCTTATGAATCATCAATGCTTCTAAAACCATAGGAAAGATTAAAATTTCATGGTTCCCCCCTCCCCCCTCCTCTCCCTCTCTCTCTCCCTCCCCCTCTCTCTCTCCCTCCCCCTCTCTCTCTCCCTCCCCCTCTCTCTCTCCCTCCCCCTCTCTCTCTCCCTCCCACTCTCTCTCTCCCTCTCACTCTCTCTCTCCCTCTCACTCTCTCTCTCCCTCTCACTCTCTCTCTCCCTCTCACTCTCTCTCTCCCTCTCACTCTCTCTCTCCCTCTCACTCAGCATAAAAGGAAACAAAAATATGAGTAATGATTGACAGGAAAATCTGCATGAGGAATATCCAATGAACTCTGCCCAGGGACTGGTCTGGGCCTGATTCTTTCCTCTTCTTCCATTTCTCTTTCTTTCTTTATATCCTTTCTCCACTTGTTCTTTTTTCCTATATGTCTGCTTCTTATTCGACTTTGTCTCTTTGTCTCCTTCTTCTTCTTCTTCTTCTTTTTTCCTATTTGTCTCTTCCTCCTTTTTTCTATTTTACCTCTACATCTTCATTTTTTTTTTTTTTTCATGTCCTCCTCCATCTTCTTTTTTCTTTCTCCTCTTAATCTCATCTCCTCTTTCTTCCTTAATTCTTTCCAGCTTCTTTTTCTCTTCATCTCCTTTTTCTTTTTCTTTCTTCTGCTCTTCCTCTTTCATCATCATCTCCTCATCTCCCCCTTCCTTCTTTTTCTTCTTGAACCTTTTTAGTTTACTCCTCTTCGTCTTCTCATTCCCTTTCAATCTATCTCTCTCTCTCTCTGTCTCTCTTTCTCTCTCTCTCTCTTTCTCTCTCTCTGTCTCTCTCTCTCTCTCTCTCTCTCTCTCTCTCTCTGTCTCTCTCTCTCTCTCTCTCCATCTCTCTCTCTCTCTCTCTCTCTCCGTCTCTCTCTCTCTCTCTCTCTCTCTCTCTCTCCGTCTCTCTCTCTCTCTCTCTCTCTCCGTCTCTCTCTCTCTCTCTCTCTCTCTCTCTCTCTCTCTCTCTCTCTCTCTCTCTCTCTCTCTCTCTCTCTCTCTCTCTCTCTCTCTCTCTCTCTCTCTCTCTCTCTCTCTCTCTCTCTCTCTCTCTCTCTCTCTCTCTCTCTCTCTCTCTCTCTCTCTCTCTCTCTCTCGTCTCTCTCTCTCTCTCCGTCTCTCTCTCTCTCCGTCTCTCTCTCTCTCCGTCTCTCTCTCTCTCTCGTCTCTCTCTCTCTCGTCTCTCTCTCTCTCTCCGTCTCTCTCTCTCTCTCGTCTCTCTCTCTCTCTCTCTCTCTCTCTCTCTCCGTCTCTCTCTCTCTCCGTCTCTCTCTCTCTCTCTCTCTCTCTCTCTCCGTCTCTCTCTCTCTCTCTCTCTCTCTCTCTCCGTCTCTCTCTCTCTCTCTCTCTCTCTCTCTCTCCGTCTCTCTCTCTCTCTCTCTC